CCCCCCCCCGTCGTGGCCCATGAAAATACCCAAACGGCCAGTGGAGCATCAGGCAGGTTACCTCGGTTACCTCACGAGGATCATTCTTTACTGAGCTACTAACCCATGATGGATAATAAACCAATTTCCCCGTTAAATGTCAGTCCCAGTTGAGTAGTAAAATGACAGGTTTATACACAGACGCCTTCTATTCATACTCAGACCCTACAAACTATTAAACATAAATATCCATGGAGATTACTTACAGGCGACATGAGGCTATTCATCTGTGACACTGTGTGTTTTTAACGCAAGATGCAAATATAAAATGAAGCATTGTCGTATTCGGTGTCGGGGCCACACCACACGTAACATGCATTAAAAGATTGTGGTTCATTTTATAGTGTGCAAGTTGAAATCCATCGTGATTGTAGCTTGTTTAAACGCAAAATAAAGAAAATATCATTTGCCTTAACAAACCAACTATGACAAGGGTTAGTCTGAGTGCAAGAGCTAAATGATTTTTACGTGATTAGAGAATGCTCCAGGAAGATTAAATTACCACCCCTTTGGCAGTGCTAATGTTCTAATTCCAGGATAAAAACCAACTCCCTCTAAGAAAAGTCACTATCCAAAATTAAAAACGCCCATTAATGTATTGATAATGTGAAAAAAGTAGCTTACCGACCGATCGCAATCAGAAGAAGACGAACGCATTTATGTAATATTTTCCTGCAACTGCCAATGAGACTTTTGTATGCACAGCAGAAAGGGACATCACGCAAAGTACAGAGTGATTTTCGATAATCAGAGAGACATTCTTAGAATACATATACCTGTGTTGTGATGAATGCATTTATTGATTTTCTTTTAATAAAGAGAAGATAAATCCCGTATTCGGATGCATATTTTGAAGGTACTCCGCAATTGTTTTCTTTTTTAAAATATAATAGACATTTAAGTGTTTGAAATGAAAGGAAGCGATTCACCATGTTATATGCTGTAGAAGCATCTTTATTGTAGTGTCGTTTTATGGGTTTACAAGACATCCATACCAGATTCATCTACGACTTTTTCTGGGGTTTAAACTGGCTATTGTGTATGAAATTCCATTGGCCAATACCAGTTGCCTTAAATCCAACCTGATTTTTCGCATATCGCTCCCAAATTAGCTGCATTTCAGTTCGTACCAATCAGTTGCTTATTCAGAGATCAGACCAAAGAACTTTTAGTTAGTCATATTATTTGTCTGGTCGTCTAATTTAGGTCTCAATTAAACCTCATGTGGAGGCATTTTTTTAAAAACAAAGTCATCATACATTGTACAGGCCATTTCTATGTAAATGATTGAACTAATTGATAAACAAGAACTCTAGACTGGCAGCAAATTAACTAGTTTTGATAATTAT